AGATACCAAACTGGACAAACACAGCGCCTCTACCCTTTACAATAACTCGTCCAAAGTCAAGTGGCATCAATGATTACCGGGCACTTTCATTATAAACTTTAAGTTGTCCACGGCCGTATAAAAGACCAAGCGCGCTTCTGGACAGCATTCAGTAGCTATCGAGCAGTCTGACAAGAAGTGCAAGATGAGATTTCTGGTACGAACACATTTGAGTTTATCCTGTTAACAAATAGTGATAAGAGGAACACGGTCTTCCAAATTTAAAATTCCCGCGCTATCGAATATAATTCAAAAATATTTTTTTCAAAGAATCCTCGTTGCAATCCTGGTATTGATCTTGTTACATTATCACTATTGATGTGAAGCATCCATGTCGTAGCGAACTCATCACAGTTATATTCGCAACGCCTGCGATCAGATTGCCTGTCCTTTGAATAATATTTAGCAGGTTTTTTAATTGTTTGAAACAGCTGTTGCTTTACTATAATTCTTTACTATTTATTCCCATACCTTATACGGACTGTTGAACTTAATAAATTCCTTGGTTTTATATATACAATATGCGCAATATGAATATTTTAAAGTATCATGTTCAATTTTGACATATTTCTTCTGCTCTTTTTGGTTAATGTCGATCGAATTCGTTTACATTTGCTGTATATTAATTTCATACTGTAGGTTAACGCCAGTTAATAAGTATTTATGTGTTAAAAATATATAGTCCAAACTCCTGATGAGTACTTTTAAAGCAAGCACTTTGATACTTAAATTTCTACATTACTATTGATTTAATTTTGATATCAAATATAAATTCTCAAGAGTACAATTATATTGCTTAAGGTGAACTCGACCCAATACTATGTTATACCAGAGTGACTAACCATCGAATAATTTCACTCTACACACTCTCAACTTCCTTGGTATTTTTCCATCACAAACGTAGAGTAGCCACTACCGGGTAGTTTTACTCTAAGAGTTGGTGAAAGAAAAATGATTGAACATGTAAGCCAACTAAAATTGAAATAATAATAAATACAATTTTTAATAAAGCGCAATGCAAGGTTTTCTGTCCGTTCAGAATCAGTTCAGAATCTGCGTGAAGCTAACAAATATGTATAACGTAACTAACATAAACTTTCGCGCAAGTCACCGGGATGTGTAAGCAGAAACCATTGACTTCCAATTGGCACGATCTCGACACACTCTCCAGCTTCTTCCACATCCATATATCTCCGAATACATGCACGTCATTTAGGGTACTCTATTTAGGTGGACGCGTCATCCTGTTGGTATTAACCGAGCGACAATCGCCAAATCGACGGATAACTGGTAGCAACTCGTCTTGTGGTAACATCGTAAGAATCTGCGACGCCCTTACTAACATCAGGCATTAATTTCCAGATTACTTTCGCCGCCGTTCTCGGCTACGCCTCCGCTGGGGCCATCGCCCCCCTTGTCTATGGCGCCAACGCTGGTGACGTCCAGGCCGCGGTCATCGACGCCACGGTCGCCGCCCAGGACCACGCCCGTGCCATCGGCGAGAGCCAGGCGCGCGCCGCCGAGGCCGTGCTACAACACAACACGGAGGCAGTCCGTCAAGTGGCAGAGACCAACCGGAACCTTCACGAGACCGCTTACTGGAACAACGTGGCCGCGTCGCAAAACTATGTCGCAGCCGCCCAGTCCCAGGCTGCAGCTCTGAACGGAGCCGCTCAAGCTTACCGCGCCGCCCACCTCGTCGGCCCCGCCTACGCCCCTCTGGCCTACGCCGGCCTCAACGCTTACGGCTACGGACCCTACGGTCTCGGCCTTCACGCCTTGTAAACTGTCACCTTACCGCCTATCGTTAATAACGAACTTTGACGATGTTTAATGTCGTTATTAACTTTACGGCTGCGTTTGGGATTTAACAGATCGATTACTCTTGACCACATTTACTTGTTCTACAACATGCCAACATTGCCAGGCAATCGGCGCATCCCTATCACCTCACCGCTCGGCCTCATAAGGCAAACCGATTGCTCAACGGAAACCACATAAAGGTCTCAATAAATAACTTTTTTCGTGAATACAAAATATTTCATACCATCACTGCCAGTGTGAATAAAAAAATATGCAACATACTTTTTCTTTTATTACCTATCCTCATGAAAAATGGTATATCAACCATGACTACACTATGCTCTTTTTAGTCTTTTATGTACTTCTTGTTAGTTTTGTTCTTGGTCAGACATACAGAAAGTATGTCTGTTTCACTTGTGTGCATTGTATTAAGTAATCCATTATTAGTGATTAAACAGTAGTTTTTGAAATAAATCTTCTTTACGCACGCTTGACTTGGGGAGTGAGCTGGCGAACGCGGGACCAAATCGTTACGAAAAGTGTGATCATGCGAGGCGAACGGGAGTTTAGTGGGGGTATAAAAAAGAAAGAGCAGTGCGCGCACACATTTTCTTTCTCTCTTTCTCTCATAGCCAGTTATTTTTCGTAATTTTATTTAGTTTTGAACAATTTTATGAATTAATATTTTGTTCAATACATTAAATATTCTACGTTTAAACTGAATAAAATTGTAAATTGTACATACAAACACAACATATAAAGTTCATGTTTTGTGAATTTTCGGGTGAATAAAAATAAATAATGGAAGGAAGCCGATAATAAATTTAAATATTTGTAGAAAATTAAAATATGTATAAGTGTATACATGTATATATTATACATACATACATATGGAGCTAAAGAAGTTTTACTTCAGTCGTATGGTCACTTGTTTTTTTTTTTACCTAAAGGAAGATTCCAATAAAAATTGAGGTTTACAATTTCATGTATCGAACTTGGGTTGTTTGTTTGCGAGCTATGAAATTTACGTTGGCCTAAAGGCATTTAAATTACCACGTCACTGCATTAAAGATAAAAATATCCAGAAAAACAAAAGAACAAAAACCTACTTCATTTAAGACAATGAATATATTATTTGGGTACACACAAATATTTTTAATAAAGTAACGCAATAAAATTGTAAATTAATAAAAAACGTAACAATAATATTAACTCTGAACTACTCGAACTAAGGTTAAGTTGTTCGTAATGCGTGCAGCGAAGCAGTTGCATCACTTGCCAACATCTTTTCATCGAAATAAAATGTGGGTGCCATTTCATGAAGAGTGAAGAGGAAAGAGTGAAGAGACTATTGTTTAGCTACATCACGACATCACGACGACGAAAAACTCCGGTTGCGTCATTCACATAGGTACATTCTGATAAACAACGTGTAATACTATATATAGGATAAGTTCTATCCGTAGTTGTTATAAACAATCTTAAAAATTCTTATAAAATTTCTATCGCATCTACCACGGGGTTTGCTCTGAGGAACTGTTTGGATTAAATCCAGCCGCCAAATTTCATGAACGCACACTGCGACCAAATCCACTATCTGGTTGCTTGGCGGTCCATCATTCTGAGTTTTACTAGGAGTTTTCTTCCTCGCATAACCTCTTTGTGGAATCGTTTACCACCGGCAATTCTTCCGGACCGATACGACTTAGGGACCTTCAAAAAAGAATCTACTCCTTTCTAAAAGCAACGCACTTGCAATTGCTCTGGTGTTGCTATTGTTTATGAACGCCGGTAGTCACTTACCATCAGGTGAGCCGCAAGCTCGATTGCCCCCTATACGATAAAAGAAAATATTATATTCTCTTGCCATATTTACTGGGACAAGAAATAAATTTATCCAATGAGAAGCTAGAACAATTGTTGATCCACCTATTAGGGTTGTTTTTCGCGCGATCTTGTGTTTGTAAATTTCTTTATTACCTCGTATCTTCCACACGGCTGGATGGATTTCAACAACTAAGGTATCGTTTAATTCGTCTTAAAAACCGTTTAAGACGAATTAAAAGTGTTTTGGGTAGCTTTTTTGAAATAAACAAAATGGCCGATTTTTAACGCAAAATACATAATAATACGTTAATAAAAAAACAATAACGAAACCTATCGAATATCGAATATAAGTTGTATGTTTAAATTTAGTTAGGAATAACAAATTGGTTTATAAAGTTTTTGATAACTGATTTATAAAATGTGCAAACATTGTGTCGAACCTCGTGCCATTATATGAAAAAAAGAATAGTTATTAATATCCGTTGCCAATCACATTTAAAATAAAATAAATAAATTGTTTTCAATAAATTTTGAACCGTATACTTCGAAGTTTTGAAGAAAAATGTAATAAATAATCACCGTTAATTTCAGGAAATATACATCGACTTTTCTAAGTCGCATAGTTATTGAAAAATCGTCAAAACACAATAGACTGGGACACTAAAAAGTCTTAAATAATCTAAAAAATCAAAAAGCCGACTGCAAAAAAGACAATTTAAAAGTAATTCACTAAAAAGACCGAAACAAGATTGAGTAAAGAAAACAAAATAAAAATAAAAATTATAAACAAAGTAAACTCTACTTCGGTTTAACAGACCATATTAAGAGCTGAAAGCTTAGTAGTTAAGTTAGTAGTACTCGTAGTGAAGTTAGTTAAATAGCCTAAGTTAATTAAGTTTAGTAGCAAGCTGAACCCATTAATTTTCTTTCGGTTTATAATTTGTAATTGGGTTTTTACGTGTTTGCTCAGCTCCTCGTCGCGCAATCTAATATACCTTGCTCCACCCTGTGCGCGTGTGATATCGGTGGATGTGCACTTACAAATTTTCAACATACTCGAAAGCGATTTGACGAATGCACCTCAAAAGTTTCAAGAGACAATTTACCCCTAACCAAGAAGAGCCTTGAAAATTCATATGTAAGATACCAAACTGGAGAAACACAGCGCCTATAACCTTTACAATGTCTCTTCCACAGTCAAGTATATATGGCATCAATGATTACCGGACACTTTCATTATAAACTTTAAGTTGTCCACGGCCGTATAAAAGACCAAGCGCGCTTCTAAACAGCATTCAGTAGCTATCGAGCAGTCTGACAAGAAGTGCAAGATGAGATTTCTGGTACGAACACATTTGAGTTTATCCTGTTAACAAATAGTATCACTATTATAGAGGAACTTATAGAGAAACGCGGTCTTCCAAATTTAAAATTCCCGCGCTTTCGAATATAATTCAAAAAAATATTTTTTCAAAGAATCCTCGTTGCAATCCTCTTGTTCTCTTCTTGTTCTATTATCACTATTGATGTGAAGCATCCATGTCGTAGCGAACTCATCACAGTTATATTCGCAACGCCTGCGACCAGATTGCCTGTCTTTTGAATAATATTTAACGGGTTTATTAATTGTTTTAAACAGCCGTTTTACTATTATCCTTTTCTATTTATTCCCATACCTTATAGGGAGTGCTGAACTTAATAAATTCGACGGCTTTTTATATACAATATGCGCAATATGAATATTTTAAAGTATCATGTTCAATTTTGACATATTTCTTCTGCTCTTTTTGGTTAATGTCGATCAAATTCGTTTACATTTGTGGTATATTAATTTCATACTGTAGGCAAATGAATATATAGTCCAAACTCCTGATGAGTACTTTTAAAGCAAGAATTTTGATACTTTAAATTCTTCGTTACAATTGATTTAATTTTGATATCAAATATACAAAAAAAATCTCAAGAGTATAATTATATTGCATAAGGTGAACTCGATCCTACCATGTTATTATACCAGAGTTACTAACCATCGAATAATTTCACTCTACACACTCAGGTAACTTCGTTTGCGTTTTTTCATCACAAACGTAGATTAGCCACTACGGGGTAATTTTACTCTAGTTGGTGAAAAAAAATGATTGAATAAGTAAGCCAACACGCAATAATAATAAATAAATTCTTTAATAAACGAGGTTATAATGCAAGGTTTTCTGTCTACATTAATTTGCCAGATTATAAACTTTCGCCCGGGATGAGCAAGCAGAAACTATTGACTTACATTTGGCACGATCCCGACACACCCCTTCTTCCATACCCATATATCTTCGAATACATGCTCGTCAATTAAAGGTACCCTTAAGGAGAACGTGTCACCCGGGTGGTGCTAAATGAGCGACTATCGCCGAATCGACGAATAACCTGGTAGCGGCTTCGGTCTTGTGGTAACATCGTAAGAATCTGCCACGCCTTTACTAACATCAGGCATTACTTTCCAGATCACTTTCGCCGCCGTTCTCGGCTACGTCTCCGCTGGGGCCATCGTCCCCCTTGCCTACGGCGCCAACGCCGGTGATGTCCAGGCCGCGGTCATCGATGCTACCGTCGCCGCCCAGGACCACGCCCGTGCCATCGGCGAGAGCCAGGCGCGCGCCGCCGAGGCAGTCCGTCAAGTGGCTGAGACCAACCGGGACCTTCACGAGACCGCTTACTGGAACAACGTGGCCGCATCGCAAAACTATGTCGCAGCCGCCCAGTCCCAGGCTGCAGCCCTGAACGGAGCCGCCCAAGCCTACCGCGCTGCCCACCTCGCCGGTCCTGCCTACGCCCCTCTAGCCTACGCCGGCCTCAACGCTTACGGCTACGGACCCTACGGTCTCGGCCTTCACGTCTTGTAAACTGTCACCTTACCGCGTATAGTTAATAACGACATTTGACGATGTTTAATGTCGTTAATAACTTTACGGATTAAATCGATTGCTCCTGACAACATTTACTTATTCTAAAACATGCCAATGTTGCCAGGCGATCGCCGCGTCCCTATCACCTCACCGCTCAGCCTCACAAGGAAACCGATTGCTCAACGGAAACCACACAAAGGTCTCAATAAGTAACTCTCTTTGTGATTGCAAAATATTTCATACCATCACAGCCAAAATGAGATTAAAAAAATATACAACTTAATTTTTTCTTTTATTACCTATCCTCATCAAAAATGGAGTGTCAACCATGATTACTACCTATACTACTTAACGAACGAAGCAGTAACAAACAACAAAACAGCCCACAATCGTCCTAATTCTAAACAGGCGTCCTCTTAAAACTGACTCTACTGACTACTGATTATATGGTTTATCTGAATCACATGGTACAATCAGCACTTAAAATTAAAATTGTTAATATACAATGCAAAATTTATTATATTATCATTATGTTCGCTATAATTTTTGTACTACTTGTTAGTTTCGTTCTTGATTCGTTCTCTGTTTTTCTTTGTAACTTGTGTGCATTGTATGGAGTAAATTATTGGTAATAAAACGCTAGTTTTTTTTTACCCAAAGATTCCAATAAAAATTGAGGTTTACAATTTCAGGTACGGAAATTGGGTCGTTTGTTTGCGTGCTATGAAATTTAAGTTGGCCTAAAGGCCATTTACTTTTATTTACCATTTATATTACTACCTCACGGTAAAGAAAAAAATATTCAGAAAACAAAATAACAAAAGCTACTTAATTTGAGACAATGAATATATTATTTGTCGTTACTTTATTAAAAATATTTGTATGTGTAGCACAAATATTTTTAATAAAGTAACGCAATAAAATAGTAAAATAAAAAAACGTAACAAAAATATTATCGAATAGACATTAAGTTCTCTGCAGCGAAGCAGTGACATAATTTGCCAACATCTTTTATCGAAATAGAATGTGGCTGTCATTTCATGAAGGAAAGAGTGACGAGACTATTATTTAGATACACACGACTTACCACAACGTGGGATAGCAGAAAACATTACCTTAAAGGCTGAAAGCTTTGACAGACATGGTATAGTTTTACAGATAATGTCATACTCTAAATTAAATGCAAGTGTACCCGAAGTTTGAATATGAATTGGTAAGCATATTTAAAATCAGCTGAACCGTATCTTCGTTTGCCCCCTCTCCTATAAAAAAATAGTTGACCATGCAGGCCATCCCTGGAACTTCCCGCTAATTTTAAATGCAAGCGCCACCCATGAAATATCGGAGTAATTTAAAAAAATCACATTTTTCAAAATGTTTAATGAATGAAAGAGGAAAAGATATATATATATACATACATATATATATATATATATATATATATATATATATATATATATATATATATATATATATATGACAAGGTTGTGGAAACTGTCCAATGTGATTGGAGCTAAATGCCGTAAGACCCGTCGCAAAAGAACAGCAGATTATTATCGGCAGAAGAAGAGGGTGGTACTATAAGTACCCGACGAACCAGCAGTAAAAGAGTCCAACACGTAGATATGAAGAAATAATATTTTTAAACATGTATATTTTATTTTGCATATTATAACAGCCTTAATAGAGACTAGCCATAGCGCAGGACAGGATTATAGTTATAGTGCTCATATGTGTGCGCAAATACTTGTGCACTTTCTGTTCCCTCCCTTTTATAGTCCGATGGACCGGCAATTCGATAGGACCCCAGAGGGATCAGGCATATGACCAACCATTTCAGGCATATAATCAACGCCTTCAGAAGCACGGTAAAACATAGCCAACTTCCATACTCCGTGCTGCTATTGAGAATTTCTTGACAGAAAATTTCCTTATCTGATTTTTTAGCAAGATCTGGCATACGATTCCGAGACATTACGATTTGTTAATCGTAATGTCTCGGAATCGTGTTTGTGACCACTAGACCAATGCCTTAGTCAAATCTCGGTATATAAGTCTACAAAGAATAGATAAAAATGATTCGCAACCGCTGTCTCACACATGACAAATGCAGAATCCATAGCATTAAGGAAAAAAAGAAGTTATGAGAAGCAGGTGCACGGTTACAACTTTTGCTCGTTATTTCAGACAAAGAACTCTCTGGAAAATACATCGATTAAGAAGTTTGCGATGGTGGTACACTTACAACAGCCTTAGCACTTATTACAATGGACGTAAGAGACAAATACCAGACAGGCGTGTACGATTTACTTCAAGATCTAGACTACCTTGATGAGGGCGTAGACTAAGTAGATGCGTAAGAGAACACACAGCTATAAAGTTCAACAAGCCAACTGTATTGATATAATATAAAACGTTTTTACGTTATTTAAAAGTTCATTCAATAATTTAGATAATTTCAGATTATGTAACATAATATAATGTGTTAGAAACTTAATAATTCGTTATATAATAAGTATATAAGTTGGTGCCATACTAGTAATGTTTATTTTTATTTTGTAAGATAAGGCTGACAAACGAGGACACAGTCCAGCTGACAGTAAGTGGTTACTATGGCTCATAAATAGTGAGGACTAAGATGGAATGTTTCGTTTTCAGTAAAAAGGCTAACCGGATCTCTACACTCACTATACGAAACACAGCAGCGTTGTGCTGCTATTTTACCCTGGTATTCTGTGAGAGGCGTGGTCCTTTCGTCGTTGTTGTCTTCTACAAGGCATAGTGCCATGCAGGTCTCGGGCCTCGGGGTACAACCCCTTTACCCGGACATTCCTCACGGCACACTACAATGTGCCGGTCCTGGGCGCCTTGGTGGTAAAAGGCGTTTTATATTAGCGACTTTTGTCGCAGTCGGGTAAATTTGTCGCGTGGTCCTTTCCCGTTTGAGCCGACCCATTCGTGCTACAACTATACTAGTTATAAAGCTGCAGCATGGCTTCTACCGCGTTATAAAAATCATACATTGAGAGTATGTAAATATTTATGTATGTATGATGTATGTGTTTATCTTTGGCACGTTCTATAGCCTAAACGGCTCGATAGATTTAAAACATGGAAGTTGTTCAATTCGTCTTTGTTATGGAAGTGACACAGGATATAAGAACAATCTCTTTTTAATAAAGTCTTTTACCCAGAAGGAGGGTGATATGTTTGAATGTATATGTATGTATGTCCATTTCTTTGGCACGCTAAACGGCTTATTGGATTTTATATACGTTTTGTTTTTAAGGTGGGTCTATGCTAGATGAGCCGAACACGAGCGGAGCATGCGCCGAGCACATATTCGTGTAGTGTGAACCGGCTTACAAGCCTCGAACGAGCGCGCTGCGAGCGTTTAGTCGGTGCTCGACTGTGCTCCGCCTATTGTCGATTTTTTAACGAACAAAAAGAGATTTGCATCGCATAAATCGATTTGCATGTGGTAGGCTCGTTGTACGTACACACTTGACACCGCGAGTAGAGCGGCTCAGCTTGTGCTCGGCTCCTCTAGCGTAGACCCAATTTGGATTCATCATGTTGTGGAAGTGACATAGGGTGTAAATTTTTCACTTAATCAGTAAACTTTTATGCATTCGGGTATTGTGGTAAAATGGGCTTGTTACTTAAAAAAAACCCATATCAACAATAAAACATAGACAAAACAGAAGATGTCATATCTGATGTAAATAAATTATAAGTAGATAGGGAATTTAAATTCAATATTTATTTATATTTATTAAAATACCGAAAGCACTTTTCCTTCGAACCGACCGTGTGTACACGCTACTTCCAATTGGAGAATTTATTTATGAATGTAGATCGCCTTGAGTGTGAATATATGAATAAAATCCGAACTAATTACTTACCTATTGTGGCAGTAATGATATGGCTGTGTTCATGTTTATCTAACGTTTACTGTTACTTTTGCCGCTTCCGCGCAGTCAAATCTAATTACCTGTTAAAATGCAATGTTAAGGTCGTTGTGAAATGTAGCCTCGACTATTCAAATTAGTTTTTTTATTACTACGCAACAATTAAGCAATTGTGGAAAACCGTCGGTAATATATAAAAAAAATCTAACGCCCATCTTTTATGAGTGTTGTTAATTCTGACAGATGGCGATAAAGCGTTTCAAATATGTAAAGGCCTTCTATAGAAAGTAAATTGATACGGATATTATGTTGCAGAGAACGCACTGTTACAAATTAGGTAAAGTAGACGGCAAACTTCGCGCGTAGAAACACTCGTATAACATATCCTCAATTGTACAAACACTGTATTTTTATTATTTTACTAATTGATTTGAAAGTCAACAGATATGAGCCCTATTCAAGCAGAGTTTTGTTGCTGTGATTACGTGATCCTTATTGGTATTATGATTTGAATCCAAATAAAAATTAAGCTATCACACTATAAGTGGTAGATCTCCTGCCAAAAAATCCGTCCAATTAGCATCATACTCATATCTCTTTCTGCCGCCAACGATTTCTTTGAAGGTCTAAGCAGCTATTAAAATAACAAGCCATGAGGCATGTCATCAAAGTATTGAAGGCGTGATAAAGCCCTCTTTTCCTGAGCTTTTGTTTTAAGTTGGCAGTAGGTAGGTTGGTGGTAGGTTAACGTGATATAACCACGCTGCAGTATCATTATGGTTACAAAAATCACATTCCGCCTGTGGCATCGCTTCCGAGCGGTAGCATCCCGGTAGTCCGCGCTTTCGTTCCTGTACGGTAGTGCTCTCCCGCTCTCGCGCCCCCGCTGTCCCGCTCGCGCTGTACAGCGCCGACGCAGTGCTCAGCCCGCCGGCGGCATCGTTCTCGGACGGTCGCCTCCAGGTACCGTCCCGTACAGTACGGTAGTGCTGTCACGCTCTCACGCGCCTCCGCTGTCCTGCTCACGCGGAACAGCGTCGAGGCTGCCGGTGAGTCACTTTCACGCTACAGTTCTTGCCCCCCCTG